CTCCAAGGAGAGCCATTACAAAACCTACACGGGGCAGAGAAAGGCGTGTGCTTTGGTTTCTCTTACCGGCAGGGTTTTTTTTCCCATCCTGCCCCACAAAACAAACAAACAAACAAAAAAAAAGCCTTTTCTTTTTAATATATATTAAAAAAAAAAAAAGAAGGGGGGGTGGGGAAACAAAATCCACGAACGGGTTAAAAGTGTCCTAAATAATTAAAAAAGTGAGATTTTTGTAATTTAAATACAAATATACTTACAAAATCTTACAGAGGCTATTTACATCCCTCTCCCCAAACCTGCAGTGTGCTCAGTTCCTGCAGGAAGCAGCCCCAGAGGAGCAAGGAGGGCAGAGCCGGGCAGTCCCCGGCACAGGGTCCCCCCTGGCTCGTCCTCTGCTCCCTGCCGCCTGCAGGAGCCACTCTCGGTCCCCAAAGTTTGCCCAGGCTGGGTAAGAGGCTGCTTCGCCCAGCAGAGCCCCGGTCATGGAGAGGATCTCAGACGGTGGTCTCGCCCTGCTTGCTGTTGGTGAGCCTGGTGTAAAACTTCCTCCAGGAGTTCAGGGTTTTCCCAGACCAGATCCAGAAGCCCGAGGTGATGCCCACGATTAAGGTCATGAGATACTTGATCATGAAGACGGTGAAGTCGGGGCTCATGGGTGGGTGGTGGCTGCTGTGGTTGTTGGGGCAAGGGATGGCGTAGCTCTTACAGCTCTGTGTGACCCAGCTCCTCTCCCACTGTTCCCTAAAAGCTTGCTCATAAAAATAGCAGGCAATGACGATGGTGGCTGGCACCGTGTAGAGGACACTGAAGATGCCTATCCTCACCATGAGCTTCTCCAGCTTTTCTGTCTTGGTACCGTCATGCTTCATGATGGTCCGGATCCTGAAGAGGGACACGAAGCCGGCCAGCAGGAAGGAGGTGCCAATGAACAGGTAGACAAACAAGGGGGCCAGCACAAAACCCCGCAGGGCATCGACGTTGTTGATGCCCACAAAGCAGACACCACTGAGGACATCCCCGTCCACTTGCCCCAGAGCCAGGATGGTGATGGTCTTGATGGCTGGCACGGCCCAGGCGGCCAGGTGGAAGTACTGGGAGTTGGCCTCGATGGCCTCGTGGCCCCACTTCATGCCGGCGGCCAGGAACCAGGTGAGGGAGAGGATGCCCCACCAGATGGAGCTTGCCATGCCGAAGAAGTAGAGCATCATGAAGAGGATGGTGCACCCCTCACGCTTCGTGCCCTGCGCCACGGTGCGGGAGCCGTCCTCGGCGAAGCGCTCGTTGCAGACCACCTTCTCCTCCAGGAGGAAGCCGGCGATGTAGGCCACGGCCACGGCTGTGTAGCAGCCCGAGAGAAAGATGATGGGCCGCTCGGGGTAGCTGAAGCGCTTCATGTCCACCAGGTAGGTAAGGACGGTGAAGAGGGTGGAGGCACAGCAGAGCACCGACCAGATGCCGATCCAGGTGCGGGAGAAGCGCAGCTCCTCGGGCCCGAAGTACATGAGCCCGTAGAGGCGGCCGGGTTCGCAGGGCGCCCCGCAGTCCTTCTCCCCCAGGAAGCGGTAGTTCAGGTAGGAGGGCACCTTCAGTGCCCGCGG